CAGTGTTGGCACTTGGTATATGTCCATATTTTTTAAAAAATTTGGACTATGTCCAAATCTATATGTCCATGTCCATATTTGTCCATATTATTTTTAATATGTCCAAATGCCCATATTGCTCAACACTGCAAAGAATATAGGATATTTAGTTTCGGCTGTTAAGCTTACTTGTCCTGACCGCCACGTAGAGGCATATCCTTTTTGGCCAGGTTTTTACGTGTATATAATCGAGTTAGTTAAATTACATTAAGTTTGATAGAGAAATAAAAAGAAATACTTGCTTCTTTATACTTCAGAACTTAGAGAAAACAAAATAAAAAAAAAAAAGAAATGAACAAAAAAGGTTCTCTTGAAATCTTTCAAACTCAAAGCGCGCCGAACAGCCGAATTCAAGCCGTAACCAACGTGCACCACTCAAAACCTTAGCGGGATCCAAACACTGATTAATCGGGATCACTCAAAGAAGACTCACGAAATAGAAATGCTAGAGATAATGATTTACTGTACATTGAATTACTAATATCATATAAATCCACGATGTAGTAACTTTAGTTAGTAAAAAGCCCTTGCTATTTAACTAGATTCAAACCGTAACCAACGTGCATTACTCAAAACTTTAGCGGGATCAATGCGTTAGCTAAACGGACCACTCAAAGCAAAAGGAAAGAAAAAGTTTGAGAAGCAAAGTAGCTACGAAACGGTTAAATATATAGTGTTTACAAACACGTGAGAACTAGTGAAGTATGTGTGTTACACGAATGTACAGTTACGATTTATATCAAAAACGGAAAAAAAATAAAAGCATGCAAAACAATCAAAATAATCGCGTAACAAACAGAAAGTTATATATATATGTTTAGACTTTACTTTCAGCAGGGGACTTTCGGAATGGCTCGTAATTAGTCAATCAGAAAACATTTTACACTCCGACATGAATTTTTTTTAATAGAGGATGTTTTGCACGATGGTCCGCTCTGTACAGTAATTTCAGTGTTTCTGTTTCGTTATATTTACATACAGTACATGGGCGAACTTATTACGAGAGTACAGGGGTTTCCAGCAATAGAATAGGCAGAGCGTTCAGCTATTTCTATCATCTACAATAATGCTACGTAGCGATATCACGAAACAATCAAACTAAATTAGATATATTTTTATTCTATAAACATATCGATATTAGCGATAGCGATAGGGATTAAAAATCGAATTTGGTTATGTGGTTGTCATAATATCACCAATGCTATTTTAAATGCTGGAAATAGCGAATAGAATCATTGATTTAAAGGGGGGTAAATAAATTATTTTCATCTACTGTTACTAATAAAGCAACGGTCTTACGTCTGTGCGCCATTTTTCTCCTGTTTTCGCATAAGTTTGGTGCATTGTCACGTGCAGATCTTGGCTAGATTCATAGTTTCCCATTATGGGTATCATTACCAAGCTTTAGATTGATCACAAACGCATTTCTAAGATTTTGGTTAGATTTTGGTTAGATTTAGTTAGATTTTAGTTATTGTTTATACATCTACGTATCTATCGCTATACCTCAATTTAACATATAATAAAAGGTTGCTTTTCTTTAACATACGTACGTACGTCTAACATCACGTTTTTTATAATCACCTTACATAGGATGTTATATCACCAAAGAAACGTAAAATTTGGTCTAAAATAGTATGGAGTGATCAGGTATCCTTGATAGGTCTAAGACGTGTGCATTCCTATTTTAGACCTCCTTAAAATAAAAGGGAAAACGTTTTATATTAAATTTAATTTATAAAATTGTTACACAACCAAATTTCTCTGATGTAAATGGTGCAACATTAGAAAATTTATAAACCACTTGTTTTACATCGTTCATTGCAAAATTTTGAGTTCTTTTTTTAGGAGATATATATTTTCATAAACTTGAGAAAAACAAAATGAACAAAATACAACAAGATGGGAAATTAAATTCGGAATCAACAATAAAATTTAATTCAAATTTAGATTTTAAAATTTGTTCATGTAAGCAGAAAGTTTTAAAAGACGATTGGGAGGTATGTATTTAATTTTTTTACATTAATGAATATAAAAATTGAATAAATAGATTTACTCATTTAATAATTTTATATTTTTTTTTATTTTTTATTTTTTTTTAAAAAAAAAAATTTTTGATTTACGTATAATTATAGGATCACCAAATAATATGCCCAAAAAGACGGTTGACATGTCCAGCTTTTGTATCATTTTTAAGTGCCATTTCAAAATTTGAACAACCATATTGGAAAATATATGGAGAAAAATACGCAGAATTTTCATTATCATTAGTTGAATCTAATTGTCCACCAACATTGAAAGAATTAACAAAATTACAAATTTTGCAGAGGTAAGAAAGAATAACAAATTAAAATATAAATATAAATATAAATATATATAATCGAATCATAAGTAATTATATAAATAAAATTGATATTTTAGCATAGGTAATT